CAGTGACAGCCAGACTTCTCTCTCCCCCTGACTCTCTTTTCCCCTCGTTTTTTTTCTCTCCATCCCTCCCTCGCATCTCTTATTCCGGAAAAATCTGTTTTGAATTTGGAGACGCTTATATAACAATGCCATCCTGCCTGGCAAAAATGTTACCGACATTGTATTTCAATCAAAATCAAATCAAATCAAGTTGTATTTATATAGCACATTTATAAACAATTTTTGGTCGAGCCAAAGTGCTGTACATATAATAAAAATAGCCTACAGTAGAGACACTTTACAGCAAATACAACAGCACAGCATGTTCAGAATATCAGTATGAGAAAAACGTATTTGTCTCTCCATCACTCTCCTCCTTTTCCCCCTATGACAATTCAGCTTTTCAATTTAATTTAATTTGCTTTATTGCCATTGAGGTTTAACAGCATCGCCAAAACAACTAAACAAATTAAGTCAGCTCATTAAACTTCTCTCTTTCTCAATTACCGTCAATCACTCATTCTTGCACATACACAATCTCAGCATACATCCACTTTACTCTCCGATTCTTTCCCAGATTTCTGGAGTAGAGTCTGTTAGAGGCTGAATAATGTCTTCCTTAACTCTGCGCGGCATGATTCAGATGTCAGTTTGAGTAACCATCTTGGATGTTGGATGGGTGGGGCCCGGGGGTAGACATGGGGAGGGGAAGGGATGTTCTCAAGATGACCTCCCACCTACCTCATGCAAGCACGCTGGGGCTTACTGAGCTGTGAAATCCTTCAAGGCTCTTTGGCTCTTCTCGTTAAGTGCTTCTGAAGTGAAGGATCCCAAAAAAAGACAACACTCATGACTATCATATGAACTTCACATGTCGATTTAGATTGTGCTGTAATTCATAATGTATTTGAGAATTCATATGAAAAAGTACAGATACTTTTTCATTCATATAAAGATTTAAATAAAAAGTTGATTGAAATAGTTGAAATGATTCAACCTGGAGACGGTGAAGTATTGCTTAATCTTTCATCCAGAAAGCACTTGCATGAACGACAGCTACTTTTATGAAAATCATTAATCAAAAAATAAAGGGGAAGATATGTTTAACTGTAGGTAATGTCAGAGATTGAAAAAGTGTTAGCTACTCAGAATAACACAGGGCATTTTGACATATCGCTTTAGCATCACATTTCTGTAAGCATGTCTTTGTGGTGTCTGTGAGTGTTTGATTTCTCAGTGTTTGACATGTCAATATGGGCATTTGTTGTGTAATGTGGCGTAGCTGTGACAAGTCGTCTGTCAGCATGTCCTATATGTGTGTAGCCACTTATCCTATGATCCCTCAGCACACATGCAGGCAAAGACAACACAATATACTGTGACTCACATCTTGGAGAGTACGTCATCAAGAGGGCTCTGCTCTGTTCTGACTGCAATACCCACGCTCCCCTGTTGCCTTATTCTCACTGCATACACACAAATGACACAGTAACTCTGTGGGCGAGAGGAACTTAGCTGTGCCTGACTACTTTCTGCCGACCCCTTTTTTGGAGTGGAGATATGATAGGGGATTGTTTGAGGTTTGGTGGGATGGGGAGGAAGTGGGCCAGTGGGTAGTGAAAGAGGCAGTGTGTCCAGCGTCGCACAGGAAGACCCGATTCATACTCCATGTGTTTAAAAGCAGGTTGAAAAGCTCAGCACACTGCTCAAACCAACAGTTTATAGTCCAATGGCTGACCAATATGCTCTTTTGAACTTTCAAATGTTGAGCAAAAGCAAAAGGAGTTTTTAGTTTTTAGTTGGTGCTTTCTGACATTAAAAATCATCAGGGAGCCGAGGAAGCCATTTCAGTTTTTTATTGAGGTGCTTGTGTTGCAGCTTCATTGGGCAGGCATTCCTTTTTTTATATAGTGCTGCACTCCAGGATCCAGGACAGTGCAGAACAGAAAAGCTAAAACAAGATCAACATTATATTGGTTTAGAGAGGAAATAACCATAACATCGGAATTATGATTATTATAGTTAAGAAGTCTCTGAAAATAGCTTGTCTATTGTGCCCTGCAGTACCATTCTATAGAGTTATTGTTTTTGGCATACTCCACTCAGCGGGGCTCTGCAGTGTAACAGGCAACCTGAGAGCTCATGTAGCATTAATTGCCTCCCTGGAGTTAAGTTCCCCATGTGGTACTGCTCATGGTGCCCAGCGTCAGGGTGTGACAACAGTGACGGGAGGTATAGCGAGTGTGACATATACCACCGCCCTTCAGAGGAAGTCAGTGGACCCACTCTCTGCCCCATCCACAGCAGCTTCACCCTTACATCAGGGAGTGTTTGACCCAGCCCCGGGCGGCCACAGCACAGGAAAGGGGATGGGGGAGGTGTGGAAGATTACCGAAATACCCCCACTTCACAGCTGCAACAGGCAGCCTAGCCAGAAGCACTGACACACACACACACACACACACACACACACACACACACACACACACACACACACACACACACACACACACACACACACACACACACACACACACACACACACACACACACACACACACACACACACACTCCCACACCCACACCCACACCCACACACACACACACAAATACTGACATCTCTACCATGAAAGTCCTCAGGGGCTGTGAACAAATGGAGAGTGCAATGTGGTTGATCAATGGAAAAAAGACAGATGCGTGTAGGGGAATACAGGGGATTTTAAAAATAAAATGACCCTAACTCTAAAATGAAAAAGTTTTTAAAAAAAAGGTTGGTCCTTATCTTTTGATATATGTGAATACACAGTTCACCCACATATTTCTGGCAAGCCAAGAGATAATTTTCTTTACCTCTAGATCCCTAGCCTTATGATTTTGAATTTAGATTCAATAAGAATAATTTAGTAGTGTGTGAAGCAACCCCTAAAGATACGTTCTGCCTTCTTGTTTTGATTGAGAGGCTGGAGCTGAGCAGCATGTCATCCTACCTGGCTTTCTAGTTAATTGTAACAGCATGTTAATGAGACACAAGATTACCCTTGCACTCCTTGACCCCGTGTGGCTCCAGCACTTCCGTAAAGAATGCCTGGAATCAATCAGACCTGAACAAATCTCCGTCTCTTGCCACTTGCTCAGTCTGCGTTCTATCTCACAGCACTTTCTTCAAATATCCCTAATACCACATTGATTTTTGCATACTGCAAAATAACAAAGCAGATGAGTGACCAACTGTGTTTTGGGACTTTTTTCTCAAATAGGCAAGAAACGTTTTTCCTCATACAAGGCTAAAAGAGCTGGATAGTGAAACAAAAGAACATGACATTTATGTTGTTCTGTGATCTCTTGACAGCATCCTCCAGATTTATCTTCAACTACAAGCACCATGGTTGTGGGCGGAGGAATCAATGGCATAAAAAAAGAGACAAAGATGGAGTTATTTTAAGCCCATATGTTACCTCTGTGAAAGTGTAGGAATTGTATTGTCCCCCAGCTGAACCAATAGCAACCCCCTTTACCCTCACAGTCTTGGCAAGGGTACATGCAATACCATGTGCCTGTAGGTCTTGGCACTAACGATTGCATGCAAGTACATCTCTGGGGGGAGGACATAAATGGTTGAATAACTATTCTAACACATAGTGAGCAATGGTTTTGACCTGGGTGGTCTTAGCATCATCAGGCCACAGCACACCATCTGGTGTAAAACAATGAAGCTACTGACTAGATTTTCCAAAAGCTATTTCCATCACATTGTATAATGATATGTATCTTTACTACATATTTGTAAATTATGATTTTGAGTTGGGGGAAGAGATGAGGTCGTAAAACAAGGGCAAAAGCAGAGAGCGATCATGTCATATCTTCAACTTTGCATCAAGTGGTGCTCATTAACCGCTGTAAGGTGTCGCATGTCATCTGCCTCTGATCGTCAGGGGGAAGATGGATGTTCCAGATGGATTTCACTGTGATTACAGTTGAACCACGCTCAGGACAGATCCATCAGACCTAGGGGGAAGACATGCTCACTGCCCTGTGGTTCCATGCTATTTCAAGCTTTCTTTCTTTGAACTAAAGATGCTAAACAGACATGAAACAAGGAATATTGGAGGTTTTGCAAGAAATCAAATGACACCACTGAAAAAATTGTATTTAAAATAATTTGTCATCTGAATTCAAACAATGACTTGAAGACTGGAATATTTAATATGCAACAGTAAGTTGGGGTTGGGTTGAGTTTAGATTTTTATGTTCTCTTCTATGTGGTTTGCATTATTCAACAAGTCTTTTTTCCAAGCCCCAACCAGGCCATTTGCATTCAGGCTATCTAGCTAACCACGACTTTGTGTGGAAATAGGGCAGTGTTGTCTGTCTGCTTTCTGCCAGCCAGGCTCATGACCTAAAAGCTGAAAAAGTGCAGCATTGTCAGGTGGTGTGTGACAGGTGATGTTTGGCACATCTGTTTTACTTATTTTTATTTTACTTTGACTTTTGCCTTGGATATAAAGAGAAACATGTCATTGGAATGGGCATGTATTTGCGCGCACATGATGAGTATTTAACCACATATCATTTGCAGTTATAAGGTAACTTGAAGCCAATTTTAAGCCTTAACTTTGTCCGAGAGATAAACCCTTGTGACTTGAGCCAAAGCAAAATGGTATCTCCAGTTGTGTAACCCATCATTAGAGCAAGAAGTCCTGTTTCAAACAGAAACAGACCTCATGAATAACAGCATAATCCAATTTGTGCAGAGGAAAGCCCCAGAAGTGAATCTACCCTTACATAAAGTTGTGCAATTTAAAAGATGAGGAGAACAATAAGACAAGGAGATATGCATTTTAGCAAGCAAATAAGTATCTATGATGCTTTTAGCCTTGTATTATAATAAATCATGGTTGTTTTTTGCCATGTGCACAGTAAACCTGTACTGTTCAGTACACTGCTGTTTCGTGCATTCAGTTACAAAGTTTAACCATGAAATCCTTGTCTTCCCTACCACCCCATCCCTATTCTTTTTCCAGGATGGTTCCAAACAGAGGCAGGTGAGGAAGAAAACAGTGTCCTTCAGCTCAATGCCAAGTGACCGCAAGATCAACAGCACAGCTGCTTGCATGGCCTTCATGATGGAGGGTTGTGAGATGAAGAAGGTGCGCTCCAACTCACGCATGTACAACCGATATTTCCTGCTGGATCCAGACATGCACTGGCTCCGTTGGGAACCATCCAAGAAAGATTCAGAGAAAGCAAAACTGGAGATAAAGGGCATTAAGGAGGTGCGTTTGGGAAAGAAAACTCCAGTTCTCCGCAGTAATGGTCTCTCAGACCAGTTCCCTGATGAATGCGCCTTCTCAATCATCTATGGGGATAACTATGAGTCCTTAGATTTGGTAGCCAGTACAGCCGATGTTGTCAGCACCTGGGTGATGGGCCTGAGATATCTGGTGTCTTATGGCCGGCACACAGTGAATATGGTGGAACCAAGCCAACCGAGTCTTCGAACATCTTGGATTGGCTCAGTGTTTGAGCTGGCAGATATGGAAAAGGAAGGACACATAGATCTGTTCAGGGCCACCCAGATAATCAAGGGGCTCAACCCTGGTATGAAAGAGTCTAGGATAGAGCTGAAGTTCAAGGAACTCCAGAAAGCTAAAGACCAATATGGAGAGGCAATTAACATGGACACCTTTGTAGAGGCCTACTGTGAGCTCTGCACACGACCAGAGATCTTCTTCCTAATGGTACAGTTCTCCAGTAACAAGGAATATCTGGACAGTAAAGATCTGATGCTATTTGTGGAGGTGGAGCAGGGTGTGGAAGCAGTAACAGACGACATGTGCCGGGAAATTGTTCAAAAGTTTGAGCCATCCGCCGAAGGTAGGGAGAGGGCCTACCTCTCCATTGACGGCTTTACACACTACCTCCTCTCCTCTGAATGCCACATTTTTGACCCTCAACACAAACGTGTGTGCCAGGATATGAGCCAGCCTCTTTCCCACTACTACATCAACTCGTCACATAATGCCTCACTTCTGGAAGACCATTTCTGGGGATCTGCAGATATCAGCAGCTACATCCGAGCTCTAAGAATGGGCTGTCGCAGCATTGAGGTCATTGTATGGGATGGCCCTGATAATGAACCAGTTGTGTATGTGGGTAGTTCTGTAGCCTCACATCTAGCTTTCTCTAAAGTCCTGGACATCATAAACCAATATGCTTTTGAGAGCTCTGAGTATCCCCTGATTCTCTGCCTGGTGACCCATTGCTGCATCCCTCAACAGAGAGTCATGGCACAGCATATGAAGAAGATTCTTGGGGACAAGCTGTGTGTTGAGCCCCCAAACAAGGAGGACATATACCTCCCCTCCCCTGAGAAACTCAAATGTAAAATCCTCATCAAGGGTAAGAAGTTACCGCCCAACTGCACTGATGTTGAGGGTGATGTGACGGATGAGGAGGAGGGTCTGGAAATGTCTCGAAGAGTGGGAGGAAATGAGAAGGACCAGCTCAATGGATTAAGCTACAAGAGACTGAGGCTGTGCAGGGAGCTCTCTGACCTCGTAACTCTCTGCAAGTCAGTCCAGTTTAGGGACTTTGAGATCTCTAAGAGAGACCAAAAACATTGGGACATCTGCTCCTTCAATGAGGTAGATGCAAACAGATATGCCAATGAGTTCCCAGAGGAATTTGTCTGTTATAACAAGCGCTATCTCTCCAGGGTATATCCCACACCAATGAGAATTGATGCCAGCAACATGAACCCCCAAGACTTCTGGAAGTGTGGCTGCCAGATAGTAGCCATGAACTACCAAACCCCAGGCCTCATGATGGACCTCAACCTTGGCTGGTTCAGGCAGAATGGTAACTGTGGGTATGTTTTGCGGCCAGCCATCATGAGGGAGGAGGTGTCCTACTTCAGTGCCAATGCTCGTGACTCGCTGCCAGGCGTGTCTGCTCAGCTTCTTCACATTAAGGTCATCAGTGGGCAGAATCTGCCCAAGCCTCGTGGCTCTGCAGCCAAGGGTGATGTTGTGGAGCCCTACATATATGTGGAGATTCACGGCATCCCAGCTGACTGTGCTGAACAGAGAACCAAGACTGTGTCTCAGAATGGTGACAACCCTATTTTTGATGAGAGTTTTGAATTCCAGATCAATTTGCCAGAACTTGCAGTACTGCGCTTTGTCGTGCTGGATGACGACTACATTGGCGATGAGTTCATTGGCCAGTACACCATCCCATTTGAGTGCCTACAGCCAGGCTACAGACATGTCCCTCTACAATCTCTGACAGGAGAGTTCCTACCAAACACAACTCTTTTTGTCCATGTAGCCATCACCAACAGGCGGGGTGGAGGAAAGGCTCATAAGAGGGGTCTGTCAGTCAGGAAGGGTAGGAAGGCCCGGGAGTACACCACCACCAAGACCACAGGGATCAAAGTGGTGGACGAACTCTTCAGAGCTTCCACCCAGCCCCTCAGGGAGGCCACAGACCTCAGAGAAAATGTGCAGGTAAGTGACTACACACTTAAAGTACTAAACATTTATCATAAAACCATTACAAATGACACATTGGGTTGTGTAGAGCAGGAGATTTACATTTTGCAAAAGGTTATCAATGTTGATAATGCTGTACAGGTAAAATAGAGTAATAGATCACTCTTTGTTACTATTGATGGGTCCAAAAGTTTAATTAAATAATTTAACATTTTACTGGGTAAAGACAGCAAAACTTCAGATCCCAGTGCCGTAAAAAAAGATTGGTTGCACTTGCCTTCTGCTAACTAAATTGGATGTTCAGTGGGTAAATGGTTTACCATTGGCAATATTGCAGAGCTGTTCCTTTTCTTCAAACTGCATAACATCTTATACTGCTGAGGCTTTGCTGGAGACAATGACAGCTCAAATCTACTGTATGCACTTACAGGTTTTGCCCGCAGGCACATCATTTCCTTAACAATCTCCATAGAAATATTGTGAACAAAATATGTCATGTTACAGTAGATTCTTCATGTTTATTTTTCTATTGGGTTTAAAGTTAAGATGTGAAAAGACAGAAAAGCCATTTTCACCAAGTATAACCACATAACCTTTAATTGCTTCAGTAGGTCAAAACTGATGTAAGTGTTTCTGGTTGGGATCATTTTAATTGTTGTGGATATAGTCTTGTGACTAATTGTTCTGTATTAATGTAGTACAAGAGATCGGTAATAAAGTAACATTGCTCTACAATTAGGAGGTTTATGAATAGTGCAATCATTAATGAGGGACAATTACTGCCAAAGGGAGAAGACTATGTTGCTAGGCACTTAGTGAACCAATTTTTAAAAAAAAAGAAAATGAGAAACCGCAGCATTGAATTGTCAGATGCCCTGTAGCAGAAGCCTTTTAGTGCATGTTTCTTTTGGTTTGTGATGACTGAAGGGTGTGGTACGATGATAGTTTCATTTGTTCAGTACACAATTATGCTTTGGTGATATTCTCAATGTAAATGGTAAATGGACTGTACTTATATAGCGCTTTATCCAGTCTTTAAGACCCCTCAAAGCGCTTTACATACTACATGTCGTTCACCCATTCACACCCATTCATACAGAGCAGTGTACCTTACTCTAGGACCTAACATGCATACACATTCACACACCGTTGGCCATGCCATCGGGAGCAACTCAGGGTTAAGTATCTTGCCCAAGGATACATCGACATGCTGACTGCATGGACTGGGATCGAACCCACAACCTTCTGGTTGAAAGACGACCGCACTCCCTCGCAGCCACAGTCGCCACTATGTTTGTTAATGTATAACAAAGTACTTTGGCAATAGTTACCAAACAAGACAACTTACATTATGACGTTTTCCCATAAATAATGGGCAAAAATAAGACAAATAACTCCTCTGGCTTCTTAATGGCTCACTAAACACAAGACACAACAACACTAAAATCAGACAAGCAAATAGTAGCACATTAAAGGTCACTTAAATGTATGTAGCTTGAATTTTGTAAGAATATTGATGTTGCCTGAGTTACTTTAAAGTGCATCCCTTAGCTCAGAAGCTCAATATGGCTGAAGAGAGGATGGGATTTATCTGCCAGGTTTTTGACCTGCATTCCTCTTGATTATGTACGTCTCACTTTCAAAACATGGTAGCAGGTAGTAGATTCTGATTACTGATTGTCTTCTGTAATTTCCTGCCTTAACCTGTCTCTTGTGCATATGTGACCATTGCAAGCTTAACAAAATAAAACATATAATGTTGTCAAACTCATCATGTTTATCTGAAGCTAATGTAGCACAATCATTTGTTGTGTATCCAGGTCATAAATACCAAGATCTGTCCATCTGTCTTCAGTAAGCCGAACCTCCGTCTAATGGCACAGCAAACAAAAAACCAGAACAAACTAAATAAGCAGAGATGCAATCAGAGAGACTCTGGTATGCTGTCAGGCATTTTTGGGTTGTGGAAATAGTCAATGTTCAACAATCCAAGAAGGAGAGAAATAGGATCGTGTCCGGGAAGTGAAATTGGGAGGTGAAATATTACAATATTTGGCCAAATTGCTTGTTTGAATAATCTAAATTATTGACAAATTGTTACCTCAATTGTTTTTCATGAATAGGGCCATATCTATGTTTGGGTGTGAGTCCCCATGGGACCATTTCATAAATAAACATGAAATACGGCTCTCTGTAAAGTCAGCCCTGTAAATCTGACTCAAACTTATCAAGCACATCCTTACTTTTGTAAAACCCACCTTATCAAATATGTATGCAACTTGAGAAATAACTACAGGTATCACCTGTCACCGCTGACTCTTAAAGCTGCTCTGTTCCTTTGAAGCAGCTCTACTTATTAATGGCCTTGGAAACTAATCTAATTTATAATACAGAAAATGTCACTATACAATTTAGATGTGAGTCGGCATCTTTTAACCTGATCAAACAACACTGGCACCGCAACCGCTCCACAAACCACAATTTCCTCAGGTTTGAAATGTAAATTTTTCTTTTTGAAATGAAGAGATAAAAGTTACGGAAAAGCAATAAGGAACAAGGTCTTTGCCTTTCAAATGTAAAAAATGGATGGTTGTGAGAGCTTTGTAGAGACCAGCTGTGTGGAGCCTTTAATCTGAAAGGAGCTGGAGGGAAGAGGAAGGGTCGCTGGCCAAAAAGCCACAAGGCAACCACAAAGCCAAGTCTGGAGGCTTTGCCAACCCTACTTGATTAGACGTTAAAGTGAGAAAGAATGACCTTGTGTACTCAGACTCACACAAATCCCAAATATCACATCATACAACCTTAGCCATGAAAGCAATGCACACAGAAACATATTTAGATGTCACCGCTTAAAGCATTATTTCACCTCACTAAGCTCTTTAAGACTCCTCTATCCTTCAACAGCAAAGCTTACAGGGGTTCTGCTATTATTAATAACATAAATACTAGTGTCTAGGACTATTTAAAATAGCAAGGAGATCTATGAACATTGACCAGTGGGCAGATATGATAGGTTGCCATGTTTTATATGTGGATCTGGGCAGCAAATCAATTATTTCCGTGGGAACCTTGAATAAAGTCCAGAGTGCAGCAGCCCATGAACTGTAAGTGTTGATGGAGGTGTAGCAGAGCTGCCAGCCTGTGGTTTATTTGATTTGCTACACACAGCATGTGTATGTCTGTGTCTGTGTGTGAGTTTGTGTGTGTGTTCGTGCCATCATGGTCACATTCACCACCACTCAATACTGTGGGCCAGAGAGAAGAGGAGACAGATTGAAGCAAAAAGAGAGAGCGAGAGGAGCAAACAGAAACAAAAGCTGTGTTGTAACAAGACACAGAGCTCTCATTTAGGGAATGTTAGAATGGGAGTAAAGTGAGGGAGGGAGTAATTAAAAACACAAGCCTCTCATTGGTGAATTTCAACACCATAGCTTGGTAACAGTATGGCTTTTATCGCACAACAGTTAGCGAAAAACATTCAGGCATGCAGTTTCATACATACGTGCTGGGAATCATATAAAGCTAAATTAATGCTAATAACATGCAGTCATAGAGGCTCGTGGTTCAACTTCTCACACACGCATACATAATCACACACAGGGTTTCAGAGCTGTCCCGCTTCTACCGTGTTTCCTCTCATGGCTCTGCTCTAAGTGGTGTTAACTGTAGCAGAGGCTAAGCATACAGATGCCGAAAGCGCCCCTTGGCCACCCTCTTCGTCTACAGGAAGGTTGGGCGCCGCACTGACAGCACATCCTCTGGGGAATGGTGGGGGCAATGGGGGGGATTTTTCTGCAGGCCTGGAGGTCTATCCCAGGGAGACGGCTGGTTCCCACACTGCAGACTGTAGAGTGTGTGGAAGGATTCCCAAGTACCAATTCTAGTACCTGCTTTGTATTTCCGAAACTCTGGCAGTGGAGGGCTTGCTGCTCACAAACATTGCATCTGCTCTGTTGTGAGAGTTGTAGAGAAAACATAGCAATATTAGCCATTATCAGGGCTAAAACTATAAAAGCACTGAAATGCAGTTGAAGAATCGCCTTATTGTAATTTTGATTAGGATGCGATGATTTGACAATATGATAGAATGTAGAACAACCATTGAAAGCAGTAGTCTGTTGATTTTAAATGTGAAAGGGCAATACAAATATTTTATCAATTAAATCCATAATTTAGTGAAATAATAGTGACCTCAATGTTGACATAATTAATCGTGACTATCAGTTTGGCCATTATCGTGCAGCCCTAGATTGATGGCAGTTCAGCTCTACTAACTGACCTACAGCTGCCCCTGATGAAAAAATAAGATTTGTTATCAGTGATACATTCAACAACAAGACAAGTTGATATATTTCTTTATTTGTCTAGCAGCAGAGAGCTTGAATGGCCTGCGGTTCATGTAGAAACGGAACGTAGGGAAAATAATGCTTCTGTAATTACTTAACTTTTGTACTAAAGACCTTCAGGCTGTGGTCAGAGGCTTGGCTCCGGAGCCAGGGGGCTGTTGAATGAGCAGACTGATGTTATAGGAGACAGATAGTTTTACTGTCACCAAGACAAACACTCGCTGCTGTCTTATCTCGTTTCAGCTCTGAGGGAAGTATCAAGTTGCCTCTAATTAAATCGACTCACTCAAGGTTATATGCAAAAAGTGTTAGCATTATTTGCCATTCTATCGGGCCACATCACCTCATTTTTCAAGCAAAATAACCCTACACAAATTAGTTTATTTGATTACAGCAAATAGGTTCAGAGCACAAGGATACTCAGGATGTTAATGTGTAATTATTTATTTGAACTGGTCTATTTAACACTTACTTTTAATTAATACTGCTCCTCAAAGCAACTTAATTTAGGAAACATGTAATAAATTAAACCAAGATGACTCAAATGCAGCATACAAAGTTAAATCGTTTTATTTAGGCCTTTTTTAAGTGCTTTTACCCTATCTCTTTCCTTCATTGTGGATGTTTTCTTTCCCAGAATGCCATGGTGTCCTTCAAGGAGCTCTGCGGCCTGACCCCGGCCGCTAACATGAAGCAATGTATCCTGACCGTGTCTACCTGGCTGACGAACAGCGAGCGGTCACTGAGGGTAACGCTGGACCTGAGCGAGACCTACCCCACCATGGAGGCTCAGGGTCCGGTTCCTGAGCTGCTGCGCAAAGTGTTCAATGCCTATGACATGGTAAATACAACGCACAAACACAAAAGAGTGAATATGATGCTGTCAGGCAAATAGTAATGCTCACACTGTTGGGAAAGAATGACAATGGAATTACACACATAAGCATTACTCTAAACAAGTATTTTCTTTAAAAATTAAACCGGTTAAAGCATTTATTCCTCTATGTTTTCCAAGGCTGGACATTGTTGGTTTCTTTCTGTTTTCCCAAATCAAAGGACTCCATTGTTTCGACCGATCTACTTGTTCATAGTTAGCACCATAGCTACCGCTAGCAACCAGGCTAACGTAACTATCAAAGCAAGGAAGAACTGTACAAATCCTATAGAAATTAGAAAGTCAGATTTTAGCAACATGAGGTAAGCACAGTAAAACAGCCGGTGGTTTTAGTAAAGCAGTTTTCGCTGCTTACTGATCCAGCTTAGTGAAATCTGTCTTTGTCCCTCTTTAACTTTTTTCAACCTCATTCAACAAGGTTCTTTTTCGAGTAGAACTTCCAGAGCTAACATTTCTCAGGCTGTTTCACTACCTAAGAAAAGCTACTTAAAGGTAGGGTAGGTACGTTTGAGAAACCGGCTCGAGATACACTTTTTGTTATATTCCATGGAATGCTCTTAACATCCCGATAGCAATGAATATCTTAAGTGCTTTGACAAAAAATCCATAAAAAATGTCATCTGTGGAAGCCGTAGTACTGTAAAAAGCACGACCAATCATTTTAGCCGGCTCGGCTAAAGTAACTGGATAGCCTACCTGCCTGTCAGCCTTCCATCTGTGCACAAATTTATCTCGTGCCCTCATTGGTCATGTGCGCGTTCGTGTGTGTTGGAGGAGGGGCTCTGTAAGGAAGTGGCAGATTTGTTCCGGCTGTGTATTTTCAAATTCTAGCGCACTCGATCTGGTTTCTCCAAAATGACCTACCCCAAGGATTCACAAACCTGGATATGTTTAACATTCTTAATTTAGCTAAAGCCATCACTTAAACCAGACAGATTGTCATGATGCAGCTTCTCATTTTATAATCTCACATGTCTTTCTCCATCCTGTCACCTCTATTACAAGAACATTGCTTTTGTTCACCACTTGACATTGACATTCGCCCAAGAGTGGGATGGAGGACTGTAATTAGTTATCACCTGCTGCTTCCTCTTCCATCCTGTGAGGCTTGGTGGGAGCTGGTGAAATGGGTCAGATAGAAACAAGGTTGTTGCGTCCGCTCTGCTCAAGTTGTGGGCACTCTCGTTGCTGATGCCTTCGCAGGGTTGCCAACTCTCACGCATCTGGCGTGTGACACACGCTTTCACTCTCAATCTCACGCTCTCACGCTGCCCAAACTATTCTCATTCTGATAATGTCTTCTGGCCAATCAGAATCAAGATAACTGCGTGGTGTTGTTGCAGGAAGTCCCGACGGAGAATACTTTTGCTGTAGTACATCTCTATACGTCGATACAACATTACCTGTTGATAGAAATCAACACGTAATGAAATAAGACCCCACGGTTTGATGATTGATAGGTGTGTGGGCTGTCTTTCATTTTGACACACAACAATGGGGGCTATCCACCCTTATCCACAATGTAAAGTAATTCACACAGCCTCTTCCCTCTTCTCAGTGCCCCTTTCACACCAGCGCTTTTTCAGCTCCGGCTCGGAGCTGGAGCCTGAAAAGCGCCGGTTTTTCCTGTTCACACCGCAGCGGCGCCGGCTCTTAGCTCCAGAATCCGGTTCACTTCCAGCTCCAAAAAATTGTCGGTCTAGAGGCAAGAGCTTCGGAGCTAAGAGGTGGCGTCGCTTACGTCTCTCTTACGTCGAGGCGTGCAGGAAACTAAACCCACCTCCCCTGAACATGGGTCAACTGTCATGCCTGCCTACAAGCAGTAGTGCTTATAAACACACTTTATAAAGTCAGGCAACACTAACCAGGCTTCGTGTGATTCTGTTTATTTGTACCTTACTTTGACCATCCGTTCACTGTTATTGATCATTGTGGAGAGAGGCAGACGTGTTGTTTTGTATTATAGCAGCTATCGGATGGAATCAATACATGGGCTGCACAGGTTGTCGTGTCCGACTATCACAAGTAGAATCATAATAAAAATACGCCGGTAAAATGTGCCTGTAGAAAACGGTTTATGCCACAATAGGATAGCAATAGCAATAGTCAGTTTAGCTTCGGTTGCTATGCTAACATCCCCCATTTTATACCAGAGAAACTTTCATAACAGCGTTGTGATGCCAAACAGCATCAATTCAGACTGACACACATTCACTTAGGCTAAGGGGAACTGGGGATATGTATCAGCTGCTTGTGTGAGTCGGACAGTGAATACTTTAGAGCGGCCGCTGCAGTGTGAGCTAACCGGGAGGTAACGGAGGAGAATAAACTCCCGTGGAAGAGCAGCCAACACTGCTGCGGTCGGTAAATGCTGCAGAAACACATTAATAAACAATGAACCACGGCACTCTGGAGCAAAGTATAAGGTTGGATAAGTCGTTATTCAATTTATTCTGGCTTCGTGTGATTAAAAGCAACACGATCATTGACCCGACGCAGTTCCCCCGTTGTTGTTGTTGTTGTTGTGAGCGCCGTAATGCCGTTGGGGAGCAAATCAGCGATGTAAACGATGACGCAGCAGCGGCAGCACCAGTCGGGCTCTGGGCGGTGTGAACAGAGCGGGAGCAGAAAAGGGAAACCGGAGCTGAACCAGAAAAGCTCTAGCTCGGAGCTAGAAAGGGAAAAGCGCTGGTGTGAAAGCCGCATCTGTGAGGAGCAGCAGGTTCAGCTTTCAGAACAAAGTAACAAAAAACTAAAATGGCATTCATTTTTTAAATATGTCGTGTAGTAATAGATTTATTTATTGTTCTTCTCAAGAGAGTACCAGAATGTGTATTTTATGTTAGTATTTCAAAAAATCTCCTGGGGGAAAATCCCCCCAGACCCCCCTGCAGGGGTTGGGCTTTCAGCATCTCAACTCTTTCACCTGTGGAGAAATTGCAGAATTGGCTCCAGGTCGCCCTTTTTATTTACTACAAGGCAAGGCAAGGCAAGGCAAGGCAAGTTTATTTATATAGCATTTTCCAACACAAGGCAATTCAAAGTGTACAAGACAAATGTGCCTTTTTATTTCATACAGCTCAATTTGGATTGAGACAGGGAAATAATCGAAACCTCACGCGTGGCGTTTCACTGTCAAGGGGAGCGTGTATGTAATTACATTGCAAATACTGACTTGAGCCCCACCACTGTATGGGTTAGCCCTACCATAGATCACCCAACAAAAATACTCTCTCGCAACTGCCGACCCATATTGCGCAAGCGCAGATCTAAGATCCAGTAGAAATGATAATGTATAGGCCTCTCACGATAATTAATTTTGTTGGATACATTTTCCCGGAAATTATTGCGATAAACGATAATATTGTCGGCACCGTTGTATGACCATTTTAGACCACTGACATAATGATAATATATAATAATAATTCAAGTACATCCTTTCCAACTGCTAGTCACATCCTCATGTAAATGGCAATTTATCGAGTTCATTTTTATTTATCGTACGATAAGTCAATTAATTGCTTATCAGGCACACAATAAAACAGTGGAAACAAACATGTGTTTGACTTTCATTAGTGAATGAAACTTTGTGCCCTTTATCTGTGTCCGATATTGTGTATTTGTATATATTGTATATATATCCTATATATATGCTGAGGTCCCGCTGCTGACACGATAGCAGTCATTTCGTGCGCATATGTGTAATTAAACCCATGATATCAAAATCTCACTCCAGCCAGGTACCCAAAGTTGGCAACCCTGCCTTCAGTTGTGACGTAGCGAGTGACATCAGGAGAGCAGAAAGTGCGTCTCCAAATAGAACCTGCTTGGGCTTTTATGAGGCCTCACGCTTGGCAGGAGGTTTGGTACTGTCTGAGCAACTCACACGCTCCAGTCCACAAAAGAAAACGTGAAAGAAGAGCAGAAAAGTAGAACCGTAATCTCTATTTTATCATTTTAGACGCTAGAACATGTATTCTCAGGTTTCACCAAAAAATGTTGTCTCTTTTATCAACCTACAATAACAGGTTGTATCATTGTTACTGACCTGGTAATTGCCTAGAACTTACACAAACGAAGTACTACAACTTTTTCTCTATATTGAACTACTTCAGTGGTTGAATAATAACCTATGGACTTGTCTTGAGGCTTGGGCCTGGTCAGCTGAGTCTTTGTGTTTGCTCCCCAGAGATTGGCCTGTTGGCAGGCTCCCCGCACAATAACAGAGGGCCCAGTGTGTGGAGTGTGTGTGAATGCATGTGAGCTCATGGCTGCCAACACTCGGCCATTTACTGTACCACATCAGTGAGCTGTGCGTGTCCTCATTCACCCCCGTGTGGGCTGCAGCCAGCAAACGATGTAACCCTGAACTTAATAAAAGGGTCAGCGCACACACACACCCACACACACACACACACACACACACACACACACAGCTTTAACACATGTACAGTTATGTAAATGCACACAGTTACGTTTCTTCCATTGATAACATTCCTTTCGTAACCATTAAGAAAATGTTGGACCCAGATGCTTAAACACAAAACCACCATTGTGTACAGACCTTAATTGTGTTCATACTGGTATGTTTTAATTATTTTCTTTGGGTTGATATATTTAAAGTGTAGCTAAAAGTCTCTCAATACATAAAATATATTGCTGAATTTAAGTGAGATTCTGAGCTTTTTCTTTGACTCGTCATTTTGCAGTGCAGCTTTAAGACATAAAGCATTTAGCATTCAAGACTTTTCCTTGCTGCTGTTGGAAAAATAATTGCGTTCACTCTTACAGTACTCAGGGTTTGCTTCGGTAAGAAATAAATGATTGGAAATATAGGTTTATTAAGTACTTAATAAATAAGGCATCAACAATTCTACGTATGATTTTCCTTTAGATTCCTATCTTAAAACAATCACGCTTTTGATGGGACTGTCCAAAATGAGTTCACCTGACAAAACCTTTTCACACTTTCACAAACCAGTTCCCATGAGGATATCAAAACATGAAAAGGCAGGCATGTACACACACACAACACGAGAGTCCACTTCCTGTCTCCCCGCTAACAAGGAGTGTGAAACTTCATTATGTTCCTCCTCGATGCTGCGGGGCTGCTGCAGCTGCTCCTCCTCAGCCTGGGATGCTCAGGGGCTCAAACTACACAACAATATAGAAAGAGTAGAGGGGAAAATACAAAGTTACATCTCTTTCATGTGTAACCAATAAATATGTGATTTCAACGCAGATATCCAGTTTGAATCAACTTTTCATATATGCAAAGGAATGTGATCCTGGTCACTCATTAAACATTAAACCGTTCATAACCTAAAAGCACATAATTTTAGTTCTTACATGAAAACCTGGAACCATTTTTGGTAACATTTAATTAAATATTGAAATAGTTGCAGAGGATTTTTCTATCAATCAACATTCAATTAATTATTTCAGCTTTTATGAATAATAATTTACTCTACACACAGAGGTAGATTTATAATAATAATAAATTGTATTTATAGGGCATTTTTTTGATAGATATTTAAATGCATTTATAAATTACAAAAACAACATACCTACATTTTAAAATACAAAAAAATGAATGACACATTAAAAGCAGTTCTGTATGGATGAGTTTTTATTAGTGATTTAAATAAGGACATATTGGTGAATAGTTCTGGATGTACTGGAGTTTATTGAGTAATTTAGATGGAATTCATGTTCATATACTGAGAGCACAGTTTATATAGCTTACTAGACAGTCTTGCATTAGAACGTTTAGAAAGCAAACCTGCTTAACTTAGTTTATTGCAAGGCACTTTAGTTATTATGCAATAATACTGAACACCCTTCCTTTAATTTTCACATTTTATCAAGCTTTATCATGATCTGGCTTACAAGGTGAAACAGTCCTGTACTGTGTCTAAATGACAGATTCATTTGAAAGAATGCTCTTCGTCTGATTATGATCTTGCACCAATTAAAGTGATCAAATAAAGACATTTATATGACAGCTACACCCGATAAATTGAGTTAAGGCTGAATTGTAATGCAGCGAACAGCTCAGCCCAAATAATTGCTGTTGAGAGGATCAAATGTGGCAACACCTCTCAGCACAGTGCTGTGTTCAGACCCCAGTATGATTCAGAGATGTAATGCAAACTAACATGACGTCTTGTTTTTTCTTCTAGATGATCCAAACCAGCAGAACACTGATCGAGTCAGCTGACGTCGTCTACTCCAAGCTCACACAAGCACAACGGGCAGGTACGTTTCATTATGGGATGAGTCCTCAGACTGCAGCATCCCCATCCATCCTCTACATCTTCTGCACTGCATCACAACTGGATGCCTAATCCAAGCATAGGAAACACTTTTGATGATTTCATTCTGTTGTGAGGATTCTTCTAATTTATGACATTTCACAAAATAAGCAGTTTTGCCTTGAAACACTAGGAGATCTCTCTGCTGTGAGGAAAATGACTGTATCAGACACAAATTAAATTACCTTACTGGCTTGTTTATTTAATATCATGAAGAAAAATGTAATCACAAGACACAAAGCAACATGATTTTGCTCTGATTTTTGGTCCACATGAATATGCAGTTTTCAAACGTACTCTGTGTCGTGTCGTCCTGCCTGATAGAATGTGCGTGTGAGTGTGTCAGCATCAGCATCAACAGCAGTGGCTGCTGTCGATAGACCAGGCCATCTTCAGTGAGTCAGCGTTGGGTAGTATGTCAGTGGGCAAGTGAAAACAATCAACCAGCCACACAGACAAAGGGCTGCAGGAAAAGAGGACAGAGAGCATATACATAGGAGGACAGTGTGGGATGAAAGGGGAGGAATGGCCAAACAGAGAGAAAATAATGGAATTAAGGTTTTATCAGTTTTTAAAAAAGGGTTTCTCAATGTAACAGGTCCAGCTTTTTAAGTGGTAAGGATACAATTCACCATAATAACACCATTTGGAGAGATATTGCTTCAATTCAAGAAATCCCGTGGCTTATCTTCTCCAGCCTCTTTTACATACAGCAATCATTTGTTCTCATTTGCTTTGTGACCCTACTGTGCAGCAAGGCCTCTGCTGTAAACAGGAGCATAGTTTGAATACTGACATCCTAATTCTGCATGTCTATACCTCACATTCGCCCTGTAGGCTTGTCACCACACATACCACTGAGACAAATGTGAAACCTACAGAGATTCAGGCCCAATGGACAGAGTGTAATAGCTGGTTAAAACACGGCAGCCATATGTAGTTTGTGTGTTGTGTATGATAAACCCAAGCAGACATGGAAGGTTCACTCACTGACACATGCCAACCCAATATCCTGAGGCCGATAAGCCAATTTAAGCCCGCTATGCCCAGCATTACTCCCTGGTGTCACACAGAGGCAGGCATATGTTCCCTCACCCCCACCACAACCAGCCAAGCTGATATTCGTGCTGTTTAATTACCAAGGGATGCAGGTTGAACGCTGGGGCTTCAATCAGAGAGCTGTCCCCTGGTTTTGAGGTTCCCCAGACCGGAGCTGGAAGCATCTTCAAAGGCGATGACTGCAGAGTTAAGCAGATCTCAAACCGCACACAGCCACAGCTACCCTCACATCCGCGTCAGTAGTTCCACACCGGAGGCTGATACTCGGTTTACTGCTGCTGTCTGGTGAAAACCTACAGAAATGTGAGAATTTCAGGAACTACATTAAGAAAATCACCCTTGTTGTGTGCCTCGAAAGTATGCATGTTGAAAGTAATTTAGTTTTAAAGGGCCTCAAAAGCCCAGGGGTTGAAGTGTTTTCCTTGAGAAGCTTGTAATCCTTGCAATCCAATTGAAGTGAAAACATGGATATTCCTAAATTTGGAGTTACAAGGTTTTCACAGCATTATGTAAGAGTGATACAATGAGGCAGAGGGTTGGAGCGATAGCCCTGAGGGGCCTCAGCTGCATGCCAAACATAGCACTTTCCCCCCTGCCCACTCCCACTCTCCTGCCCCCAGCACTCACACACAAGCCTCAATCCAAACCCCTGCCATTCGCAAATGTACAAAGCCTGTTCATTCATGCTTCCAGACATTCTTTGTTGTTGTGGTTTGGATTACGATACTTGACACTGGGAAAAAAGAGGGGAAACTGCAGTGTACAGGGTGCCAGGAAAACAGATGTCCAAGCACTGTTTACCAAAATCCAATTACTTATGTGTAAAAAAGCAACATAACGTAACAAACTGTCTCAATTCAAAAACTGGGAAATGACAGTTCTAAACTTTTAATGAAAAGTAAACCTGTTGGCCTTAGTGAATATACATTAAGATTAGCTAAGAATAAAGAGCAAAGTGAGTCTTCAATTATTGTCCGTTCATAATCACAGAAACAAATAAATGAATGTGTCGTTGCATGCGATGCTTGAATATCAATTAAGAGGATTTCAAGATAGGAAAAATGCTTCGATGGGTAAACTATGATGCTTCATAATGCCTCGGTAAATCAACATTTTTTGATCTGTTATATTAATCTCCACCCTGCATTAATAAAGTAATAACCTTCCAATATTAGCTCTTCTGTCCTGCTTCTCCACTCAGCGTGCCCTTTTCCCCCTCCATCTGCTTACTGTACTGTCTCATCAGATCCCTGCTGTCTGTGTATCTGCTGCTGCTTTAGCTTGCAAATAAACAGAAACGTTTCAGAAATACTGGAGAATTATTTTCAGTGTGAAACACAACCCATTCTACCCCTTTCCGTTGTCTTTGTCTTGTTAGGCCTCTGTCTTTCCGTTCATAATAGGCATCTTTTATCCTCTAGAGAGCAGAAAAAGCATCGAGGACATTGGAGTGAACTCATGACTCCCCGACAAAATTCGACATCTCTGTGATGGCTGCCAAAGCATGAATTTACCTCTTTTGAAAGACTGACAAGCACTGAATGCACCCTTCGTAATAAAATATGTAGAGACTGAGGATGACAATAGCAACAGCCTGAGAACAGACATGGAACGGAGAGTGGAATCGAGAGAAGACGGGAGAAATGTTGAATTTGCATGGAATTGTAGGGTTTGTCCCAATAATCAATGCGGAAGCTAAAGGTATAATTTTGGTGTAATGGCTGCATGTGAAGTTGAAAAAGGTGCTATCAGGGAACAGGCTGCTATCATCGGAGACAGAATATGGGATGGGGTAGGATCATAGACTGTATATATATGATGTGTATGTGTGTATGCTGTGCAGCTAAGCTTAAGGTTTTTGATTGGACCTGACATGTTTGCCCGAGCCATTAAAAGTGCGTCCCACTCGTCAGCAAGACGTTGTCGTGACAAAGCCATAATCGCAATGACACACTGGTCTGAACTACCCTCTATCCTCCTAATTTTCCTTTTAAAATGTAAGTAACGTGAAATGAGTGGCAAGTTCTCCACTCATACAGGAGGGGAAGAGTAACTGTGGTTTTGGGTTGCTATGGCTCTTAATTCCCTCCTCCCTCTCCTCTATCCTTCCTGTATTCAGTTTCTGCCCAGTCATTATTGCAGCTAATCAGTTTAATTTGGGCAGTGAAGCTGACGTGTTGATGAGGATGGAGAGGTGCAGCATGATCCCCCCCCTGGGCACTATTGATGGCTCGCCATCAGACACACTGCTAATAGGAACCAGATAGACAGCTGGGATGCAAACTCTGGCACCTCCAGATGCTACCACGGTGTGTTGTGTGTGTTTGTGTGTAATCACACTGGCTGATGTGTCTGAACGCATATCCAACCTGTCCGTGCATGAAGTCCACGACTTTCACTCCTTATGCTAACTAGCCTGTGGCTACCAAGGATTTTCTCAATTTTAAAATTGTAACTTTGATTTGAATATTTTCAACATAATTTTCTCTAACAATGAGAAGATCCGGAGTAATAGATGCTAGTAGAGCTTCAACAATTAGTTGAAATAGTTGATCAACAGAAAAGTAATCACCAACAATTGTAATAATCAATTAATCATTTAAGTACTTTTCGTGCAAAAATGGCAGAAAAAGCTTTTTTCATACTCAAATATTAAGATGTCCTGCTCTTCTCTCTTTCATATCATTTTGAACTGAATACTGTATGTGGGTGTAAGACTGACAGAACAAAACAATAAGAAACATCAACTTCGACCTTGACAAAGTGGGATGGGCATTTTTCAGGCGCGTTCACACCGGAGTACTTTTCCCCGTACTTTTCCTATTTAGTTCCGTTAGTACCCCTTATGTCGCGTTCACACCAAAAAGAGTACTTAGTGCCGGGAACTTTTACCCCCATTGTTAGTGCCTGCTAGAGAGGTGGTACCAAAAAAGTGCCAATTTCTATTGGCTGGGCGAATTGCAAACCACGCCCCGTAAAACTCTGACATTGTTTTTGAAGCCGCCATTGTATTCGCTGGCATTAGCATTATTAGTATTAGCATTAGCCCCGTGCAGAAACGCAGGGAGACTAACTTATGGCAACACAAAAAAAAACATGGGAGCGGTGGAGACGAGGAGGTGTCGGCGTTATGGCAATTTACTCGGAAGGCTTCAGTAGAAGCTGCTGGGACTCCCAGCAGCTTCTACTGAAGCCAGTCCCCAACTCCGGGGACTTCCGGCCGGGGACTTCGGGTGGCAGTATACGCCGTGAAGTGGTTTGCGGCCTGCCAGTAAACACAAAGCAGAAGAAGACGAAGTGACGTCAGCGGCTTCATTTGCCTAATCCTCCCTCAGGGAAAACTACTCCGGTGTGAACGTGATCGGTACTTAGTGCCCTGGGGTACTAAGTGCCGGCACTAAGTACGGCAAAGTACTTGGTGTGAAAGAGGCTAATAATTAAGAAAAATAGGCATATTGATCGATAATAGAAATATGAGTTAGTTGCAGCCCTAGATACGAGTAAAAGAGTAGTTACCTTAAACAGGACGCAGGATTTAAATGGGCCATATTGTGCTCATTTTCAGGTTCATATTTGTATGTTGTGCCTCGACTGTGACATGTTTACATGCTTAGAGATGTCCCACCCCTTAGCCTATCACTTACAACGTGTTGGAGCGCTATAGCCAATAGAAGCAATAGAGTGTTACATAGTGATGTCACTATGTTACAGAAGTAAACACAGGACACCCATTGAGGTGTTTCAGGCAGTGGGGGGGGTTTGTGGGAGAGAAACTCCAGCTGGAGGAAACTTTGGGATTTTAGCCTTTGCAGACCATTTTCATGCATCAACACACTACAGGAAATAGAAAACACCCAACAAATAATAATAGGGCCCCTTTAGATTTCTTAAAGAACGTGCATCAATGTGTATTTTACACTTAGGTTGTTCATGCTGCCTTGAACAGGTGCAACTCACTGTATACATTTGTGAGCTGCTGCCTTCCTGCAGGCCTGACTGTGTTGATTTATTCATGACTCTCTCTAGCTGACCACTCCGACTGTTGGTATGGTTTGACTCCATGTGGACTCCATTACCATACAATCCAAGGGATAAAGACATCTCCCTCCCTTTATCTGCCTTGGCTTTGTACTGCCATTGTTTCCCCGGCTCATCAGCAGCTACAAATCCCATTCTCCATTTGCAATGATGATATTCTGTCTGGGCCTCTGCAGTGTGAAACTTGATAAATTAATGAAATCCTGATCCGACTGTATCTCTTCCTCACCCCCTTTCCTATTTTTGTTTTTTATCATTTCTTTCCATCAGATCCTGTTTGGATATTCTGTTTGATTTTTTTGTTATTTACTTTTACTTTCGTCTCTCTCTGCCTGTAGCTGTCCATTTTCCTTTGCTTGTGTGTTTGGATGATAATAGGAGCTGCTGCAGGATTCATTACAAAGAAAAAAAAGCTCTATGCAGGCACTGTAAATCTTACGGTGGTGTGTGTGTGAGCTTTTGTGTTTGCATGAGTGTGTCTTGTGTTGTCCCCTCAGTCCTCCTGTCTTTCTCTTTCCAGTAGAGAAGCAAAGCGTAAGATCCTGTCTCATCGGAGTGTGCCATGGGGGCCACATTGTGTTTATTATTATTATGTTTTAAGTGACAGTAAGGAATGGCAACTGTGGGACTGTTGGGGAAATGAAATGCTTAATAATTGGGAAATGAAATGCTTGAAGAGGCTGTTGTGAGATGTTTCGCCTCCAGCTAATTTCATCTCTCATTCAGCTCTCTGTCTGCCTTTCTCCCCAACTCCTGTGATCGCTGGGCTCTGCTCTGCACCAGCAGCGGCCCATTAACTGCTCCAGATTACAAGATCAAATCAGCCCTAAACCCTGTTAACACAACTTTCAGGCTCTGAAAGAGATATTCTGAAAAGGCCTCACATCACCTATTATATGGAAATTAAAGAATTACAGAGGTCCTGGGCTTTTTTGCAAAGTTGAGTTTCATGTGCACTGAAGGCCAGAGATCATATTTCCTGTATGAATTTCTTGATCTCTTGATCCGTTTAAAGTCGGCTGCAGATTATTTACAATAACAATTTATAATACAAACATTAACCATTATGTCCTGGTGCTGGAATTACAATTTGCATATGTTTGGTTTGGTTTAAAAGGAAACTGTGTTATTAACGCATACAGTATAGGTAGTCTAGATCTGTAGCCTTAACAACAGGAGTTTGGTAATACAGGGATTTGTGGTGAAATGTAGGACTACCCTGAATACGACTTGTTTGGGCTTTGAAGCTATAGTGAGAAATATCTTGAAACTTCAATAACCTTTACACGCACACACCTCTACACACACATCAAACAACACTGTCTCTAAAAATAACTAATAATAGAGTCTTGATGATTTGTAATGAATAATGTGGGATTACTATTCCATAGTGTATCATGGACTATTTACAATGTTTTAGTATTACACTACCTATTTTTATAATTTATACATACAAAAATACATGGCAACATTCAAAGCATTCAGGTAGGACCTAATTTAAAAGTTAGAATTTGATTGTCTACACTGATCTTGCCTTTTAACATTAAATTAGATGAGGATGCGTTTGTATATCTATGTACAGTACATTAACTACCTTTTTAAAAGTCATATGTTGTTGTAGTGGGAGACAAAGCTACAGCACAACTAGTGTATTTTGTAAACAAAGCATTAACTATTAAGTCAAATATTGATTTTTTTGTAAACTTTTGCGCAATATGTGTCTTCATAGGAGTAAATCACAGCTGGAGTAGGACACGGTCAGTTGTTAGGGACAGACTGGCAAGTCCGAGTCATATGGCTTTAGCCCAGAGGATTAGTTATGGCCTGCGTGGAGCTGGACTCCCTGATAGATTAATTAAAGGTTAGCCTGCCTCAATTGTACCCCATTAGCAATGCAGCACATTGTATGGTAAACTGTACTTGAAGCCATTAAAGGGGCCCATGAGGAGCTGGCTAGCAGTCTTTTATTCTGCATACTTTGCACACTGCAATATTAAAAGGTGACTTAAAGAGCATAAACATTTCCTATTAGTACCTTCATTAAGGATTTCATGTTTTCACTTCTGTTTTTTGTATTATTGGTTAGTGGGATAAGTTGGATATGTGTGAACAGATTTCAATTAAACTTGGAGGAAAGTTAAGTTAAACAGGTATTTTGATCACATCTCATAAAAGAACAAATCTAGAAGCATAGGCGCGTTCACATAGCAGTACTTTTCTCACTTTAGTTCCGATATAGTTCCGAAATGTTGCGTTCACACCAAACAAATCCGGAACTAAAATTAGTTCATGAGAACCTTTTTACCCCCTTTTACCCCCTGCTAGAGAGCAAGAACTTTCGTGGGAGAAAAAGGTTTCTATTTCTGATTGGCTGGGAGGAAATCAAACCACGCCCCGTAAAATTCCCAAAAAGTGTTGTGAAGCCGCCATTTTATTATCCTCGCATTAGCATTATTAGCATTAGCCCAGCGCACAAATGCAGAGAGACTAACTTATGGCAACACAAACAAAAGGAGAAGCTGCTGGGAGTACCAGCCAGTCCCCAACTCCGGGGACTTCCGGCTGGGGACTTCGGGTGGCAGTATACGCCGTGAAGTGGTTTGCGGCCTGCCAGTAAACTCAAAGCAGAAGAAGAAGAAGTGACGTCAGCGGCTTCATTTGCCTAATCCTCCCCCAGGGACTTATTCTGGTGTGAACGCGATCTGTACTTAGTTCATGAGAACTAAGTTCTGATGAACCTTTGTGGGAAAAGTACTGCGGTGTGAAAGCGCCTATTATGGTATCCAAATCGTTACAGCACATGCCATAGAATCACAACTTCCAGTCCAAATCCCACCTTGAAGGCATGGAAACCCCCCCAAACACACACACACACACACACACACACACACACACACACACACACACACACACACACACACACACACACACACACACACACACACACACACACACACACATTTCTGCACTGCATGTTTTCTATCAAATAAAGGCGCCCTGTGAGACTTTCTTCCAATTTTACACATAAATCACAAAAAATGAACTGATTAGATTTGTCAGTCGGCTAATGTCGCTGTGTCGATGTGTTTTGACAATTTCACACAAATGTCTAATAGGATGATATGGTGTGTCTGTACCCAGGTCTGGACTTCCATGAGGATCTGCATCACATCGGAGCGAAGGAAGGTCTGAAGGGCCGCAAACTGCAGAAGGCGATGGAGAGCTACGCCTGGAACATCACCGTGCTCAAGGTGAGAAACACTGAGAAACACTGAGAAAACCACAGCAACAAAGGCCCTTTACTGTACTATACACACCTCTAGTGCTGGCTCATACCTTTGATTGATGTCAACATGTGAGATTATTTTCCAGACTATAATCAGAGGGATAAGAAATGCCAGATCCTGTCGCTGAGATTAAACGACATGGTGTTTTAAGAACGCTCTCTGGGCTAGTTGTATATGCCTCTACTCTAATCCCTTTATCTCTTAATTAAATGATGTTGATTTCTGACAGTGGTTTATTTATTTGCTCATCTCACCATCTTGACAACACACGATAGGATTGTTCACACTTGTTTGTAGACATACACTTACTCCTCATGAGGGTACATTGCACATGCCCTGAAGATGTTGCTCAGCACTGACCCGGTGAGATAAAGTTGCCCATGCCTTAATTTCACCGCCCCGATGAACACTAGTGGTGATTGCAGCACTGATAAAAACAGCACATGCTGCTCAGACTGCCCCCTGCACAGTACGCCTGTTTTTCTGAGTAAGGAAAAAGCAGCCAGGATATTTGTATCTCATCTCATCACCATGAAATCATTTAGTATTGAGTGAAGAAGCTCCCTTGGCTGAGCTTTCTGCTTCGGTGTCAAGTTAGGTAGATGTTTGATTGCTTGATTCTTCTTTGCCTTTTCATGCCTGCTTTTTCAGACAGTGAAAAGACATTAGGGCTGAAAGTAACAATACGTTTAAGTGAGAATTAATCCATCAGCAATTGATCGATGACCTGATTAATAGGGCTCCATTTAATGATTGATTCCATTATGTAATACTCTGCAGATTCATTGTTTTGTCTTAAAAATATAAAAAGATATAAAAAATGTCCATCCTAATATATAAAATACAAGGTGATTGTCTTTGAATGTCTTGTTTTTGTTAGCTGGAAACAGGGTTTTATGGCGTTTTGCATGGAAAAATACGCTGTTGCTTATCGAAATAGTTATTTAATGATTATTTTTCTTTCAATTAACGAATGGATTAGTCAACCAATTGTTGCTGCTCTACTGATTTATATACAATTTAACACATTTGTTTTAAAAATTCCCAGAAATCAGTGCAACATTTTTTGTTTTATTCCAACAGTCTCCATATCTGAATACATTTAATTAAAATGATATAAAACAGTGAATTATTAAAAGCTGCAAATGCTGATTTTAGGGCGCAGGAAGCAGAAGGTTGATAAATGAATAATTGTTGTATTATTAAAACCTTAAAAGTATTTCAAAGTAGTCAAGGTAATGGATATAGCTCTAATAAATCAGTGCTAACTTTTGTAGCTCTTCACACATACAGCAAATAACATTGTGCTGCACCACGGTTTATCTTAATTAAGCTTCATTGCACCCTCTAGAATTGGGAAACCATGTGCTTAAGTAGAGCAACAGGTGGACCCGTGAACATAATCCCCTTTGCTACCCCCACCCCCAGTTATACCCATCACCCCTAAGCTCAGATCTCCTCTCATCCCTGCACTGTCACTCCAAACACACACTACCCTCATTCGTCCATCTTTTTTAATATCCACATTCTCAACATGAATGCATCTTGGCGAGCACATTACCCCTCCTCCTCCTCTTCCTCCTCCTCCCATTCTTCAGTTGTAAGCCGTGTCTCATACTAAACATTTGGTGAGAGCCTGGTGCGTGTTATGCCAAGGCTGGCAGCCATGCAGAATTATTTCACTTGTCATCCTCTCCAGATCCTGGAAACACTCGCTGGTAGATGGCGGGGAAGCTGTGAGGAAGATAGAGCGAGAGAATGTGTATTATCCCTGTTTCCAAAACCACCTTAACAACATTAATTTGACCGTTACAGTCAGATCAAAGCTGTCATGGTGAATAAGGGTATTTGCCCATTTCTACTAGTCATACCTGTCACTCATCGTACCTGCTGTCAAGAGAAAAGCAACAACAGAGCGACAGAAAGAGAGGCTGTGAAGCATACTGAGTTACATTTTGAGAAGAAAAACAGGCTCCGAAAACATGGACTCTAGCTGTCTCCCTATTGTCAGTTTTTACTGTAATTAACTATTGTTTGAGGCAGTTTGTTATATAACTAATCTGCTAAAGTAGCTGCGATTTTTCACCATGACTAAGGCCCCTTTTATTCTGACAAGAAATGATTTATTCTGTTTCACTCTTGAGTTTAGTTATATGTTCAAGAAGGGAATTTATAGAGGCCATCAATTGTGAACCATAGCTGTCACTCTCGCTGATGTTCGCTTCCGTACCACTTTATCTAGATAGAAAACCTTAAAATAGTCCACAATAAAGGCTTCTTTCAAGGGGATGGACTGATTTTGATAAATAAGTAGGCGATAAGGAGAGATTTTAATGAGGATATAGCAAGGGGATTTGCTCTTGCTCATGCTTAGCCCCCTGTGGTGAGCTTGAGGCCAGCTGTAAGGGTGAATGTACTCAAATACGAGTGCCATCGTGATTTGGCTCTGGCAGCACAGAACCAGCTTTTCGCTGTCTTATTTTATGCCTGGTGAGTCATGACTTACATAATTCAAGTTTTTTTTTTTTTTTTCAAGCATTTGACTTATTCTTGCTCGTATGTTGCGTGCCGGAGTGGCTCAGGTAAAAGGCCACTTGCAGCGTATTAACATCACCTGGGAATAAAGCGCTGAGTGCAGGGCAGCACCTTTACTCTTTCTACAGTATGTCAGACTGTTGTGCCTGGATGTTACCATTTTCAGTAAAGTCTGGTGCAGAGCGGTCAACTTCTGCCTCTTCAGGTGGATGTCACAGCGGGTCAAACCAGTCCAGAGAGTCCAGAGTAAAGTTCAGTGGGAGGGAGGGAAAGTATTCAGGTTCACAGATCAAAACGTGCCTGTGAACAGATATTAAAGGGATGTCGGAGTAAAGACAGGCGGAAAGAGAGGGGGGGTGTGGCAGGCATGTGGTCAGATTCCTTTTTTTGTTTTGGCCAGTTCTAATAATATAAGCACCTCTCACACATATAAATGTCCTGCCTGTGGAGAAGTCGACCACATTTCCACATGGCAGAGACGGCTAGCTTAAGGTGGCAGGCAGCCATGGCAGCAGCCCACATTGACTTGACAGTGCTGTAAAGCAGGATGCCTGCCCTGACCACTTCCTCCACATATGGCAGGAATTCGTCTCTAGGGTGCTCCCAAATAAAGACTAGAACTGTAGTATAACATTATCACCATATGACAGCACTATCCACCAGCTGAGAAGAAGTATGAAGGGCTGGCAGACAACCAAAGGCCTTCCTTCTGTGGCTTGATACTGCCCCCTACTGCATCTTATGAGTTAATGCACCATGGAATAAATGTTTCCCTTTACATCAGCAGTACAATACATATACAAACATTAAAGAATAATATATCTTTTTTTAGATTTTAACAATGACATTATAGAATATCAAGTGTTTTTCATTTGAGATACAAATAAATAAATAAAAATAAAATCAATGAAAAATAACAAAAGGAGGTTGATTTGGGCAAAATATGAATGTTCTGCCAAATTCGCTGCAATGTTCATGTAAATGTTTTACAAAGATTTCATAAATTATATCATACCAGTGCCAGTCCACACACCGTATTTTTGTATCTTATCGGGACTTGAACCGGCGAAACTCCGGTTCCCAAGCCATGTCCCTACAGACTGAGCTACTACCGACACATGAAAGGCCTTCCTTCGTCTTCTTTTTTATCCAGCAGCTACAGACAATATTAGAAACAAGTGTTTTCTGTTTTAATATTTGTGGATATTGAATGTTGAAACACAAAAATGTGTTTGTCCCAATAAAGAAATGGTGTTACTTATTCTGTATATATCTTGTAGATACTGTACGACCTATAACACTTTTAACTGATATTTGCCTTTATTTTCATTTTAATCAACAGGGTAAAAGTCCTTTAGGGATTCAATTATATATTTTTTAAACAGACCAGGCCAATATGGTAACACAGAACTCGCTCTAGCTATCTAACTCGCACACTAAGCTATCATGAGGTAATGTATATCAAAGGTGTTTCCTGCTTTTTTTGTCACCCTATAACCTGATATGTGTTGATAACCAAGCAGTGTCTCTCTGTGTCTCCCCTCTCTCTCTCTCTCTCAATCTCAGGGCCAGGCAGACCTGCTGAAGCACGCTAAGAGCGAGGCGCTGGACAACCTGCGTCAGATCCACTGTGCCGCCCAGTCCTGTGGCCTCAGTAAGAACGGAGCAGCTTCCCCACAGCTCCAGCACCATCCTCTCCGCCCGCCGCAGCAGCAGACACAGCCACAGGCCAAGACCCAGCCTCCTCCACCTCACCCGCCCCAAACCCAGCCCCCAGCCCCAACAGCACCTCAGGCTTATCACCATCCCCTTCCCCAGGAACATCCCCAGCAACACCCCCAGCTGCCAGCTCTCCCTTTGGTTCAAACTCTTTCAAAACCACCGGCCTACACCCAACCTCCGCCCCTAACCCAGCTCCAGTTTCAGTTTCAGAGCCAGCAGCAGAGGGCAGCAGGAACTCCGGAGGGCGTCTCTGACAAAGAGCTGGTCAGAGACGACCCTGTGGGATCCTGCTGACCCGCAGCCTGTGCCAGCAGAGAATCCTACCCAAAGAGAGACAGGGAGGGCAAGACAGAGATGGGGAAGCAGAAGGATGTAGTGGAAAAGAAGGGGGGCATTAATGAAAAGGACATGGAGGAATTGGCTGAGAGAAATAAAGAGATGATGCTGGGGAGGAAGACTCGCCGTGTTAGAAGCGAGACGCAGGTCTGAACGGGTTTCAGTTAGGGCTGAAAGAGAGAAGAAAGAGAGACCTCACACTGCAATCACACATCTCTAAACTGGAAAGACATTTTTACTTCTCTCTGTCATGGATGTGGAAAATATATTTTATCTGAGCCAGGAAGTTGAGGTCTCTTCTGTTTTCTCTCTTGTGAAAAGCCAAATGTACGGAAGCCTGGAAAGGCCGAAAACAGTTCTAGTGATCTGGTGACATTTTGTCAGCATAATCTACATAGGTTCTGAAAGTTCCTTTGTTGCCAGGTTTTAGTAGTAAATATAGGTTACACTAAATGTTTCGCTAGGCAACATTTTTTTACATTTCATTTAGCTGACGCTTTTATCAAAAGCGACTTAAAATAAGTGTATTCAACTTTTTATTTTGATCAGGATAATTTCTTATGTCTTTGCTCTTGTAATACTCGTTTAACCCACACGAGGCTGAACTGCTCTATTATATGTTTTAAATAGCACTCAAAGCATTCATGTTTTCTACCAGGTATGTTTTCTCTATGCAATTTTAACACAAAATGTAACAAGTTGTGTAACGTTACTCTCATTTCTTTCTTCCGGCTGAAAATGTAATTTAATCTTATTGACACATTGTTTTGATTAGACAGACAAAACCTTACCTGGGAGAAGACATGAATGCTTTAAGTATTATGTATAACATGTGGTAGTGGTACACTGTTGTAGTCAAAGGAATATGACAACAAAAAACACAGCAGAATTTATCCTTAACAAAAACAGTTTGACATGCCAAAAAAAAAATTCTCACCTCACCTGTTTCACAAATATAAAGGAAATGTAATTTTTTTAAGTAAATAGTGTTAAAGGAACTTACAAATAAATAATCCTTGATAACCTGTTCTTAACTCATAAACAAAGTAGAATAAATTGTCAGATCATAATTAGAAAATGCACTAACAGATTTGTTCCTATCCTCTCAGGGCTTCCATACAAAAGGGTAACAGCTGGTGACAAACCTGTCGTGTGTTTCTGCAAAGGAATGTTTTGAAGTTGGATCAGTTAGATATCCCTGTCTCTCTCTGGGCACTGCTAGTTACATGCCCCTTCATGATGTACTCTAGCTCTGTTGGTACAGGCTTTACCTCACATTGGCACTTTCTGCCACAAATTTGCCTTTTCATTTCCAGAGACTCCTCGGCATGTCTTTGAGCTTTTATTTTTTTAATGCTCACACTCCTTCTCTTCGATCGTAGACGTCATGCTAAGTGCAAACCCTCCTTTTGACGACGAGGAAACCATGTTAATTTTAAGTGCACAACATAGAGCAGCTTGAGTAGGCTAAGCTCTGTAGGCGTCACAGATGTCCTTTTTAGCACAAACCAGGAAGCTGTAGAGCCAACATAGAAACCATCTGCAGCTGCTGATGTGTTCAGTCACATCGATGCTCTTCTCGCATCCAATGCTGTTGTCCATCGAGTCCCACACATCTCCGGTGTCATTCCATGGGATTTCAGTTCTTCAGCATTCCTGGACTCTCCCCACAGGGTCTCCTTGTCTCCTCCCCAGGGGCTGTGTGTGTGACGTTACGTGAGTCAGTGTTTTGGTCCCCAGGGTGGAGCTAGCCCACCTCCGTAAGTGGCACAGCTCACCAGCCAATCGCAACTGGAATACCTGACCCCTGCCTGTTAGAGGTCGGAGGTCAACCAGAATATGGTACTGCTGTCAATAAAAACACAAAATAAAGTGAATCTAGATGTAAAATGTATGTAAAATGTGCGAAGGGAACATATATTGCTATATTAATTATTGCAGACACAGACATTAATGATTGATATTATAATAATTGTTGTTAGTTCTATTGATATTCTTTTTTTTAACATTACTTCCACATATACAGTGATTTGATTCCTGTTGTTCTGTGGTGCGGATAAGGACAACCAGTGCATGTAGGAGCAGAGCGAGGGATAACTGGTCAGCGCCACAGCTCCAGGGTCAGACAATAACCTGATGTGTGTTTCACTGCGAAGTGAGTGTGGATTCTGTGAGAGCTCCTGAAAGTGGCCCATTAAAACTGGCTTCATTGTTTATCCTGTCTCCTGTTGTTCATTTGTCTTTGATGACTTTTAAATGAGCATACTGCCAATTCTAATGTATTCCCCTTCATGCTAATGCCCATTATCTGTATTATCTGCCCATTATACTTGAATTTCAGCAATATTTGAATCAGTACCTGGAATTATATTTGCCTGAAAATAATCTCAGACAGTGACTGGGAGGTAAGTCACTTTTTAATTGCGTTCAAACAAATGTCAGCAGCGCTTGAAAACATTTTAAAAGCAGCTTTCACAGCGGATCTAAAGCAATCAACGAAGCTTTCCAAAAGCTAGTATTGATTGCTTCTTATGCACTATGATACACTGTTCATTCTCTTTATCTAAAATGATTTTCCTATCAATAAATCAGAAGGATGCCACTCTTTTAGAATGAATGAGTGTGTTTATGTCGAGCAATGCTTCCCGTTGTCCATAAGATGGCAACATATAATAAGTGAATGAGGATCTGTAGATGAAAAGATGAAAAACAACAAGTCAATCATTTCTTTCTTTTAGTTATCCGGTTGTGTTAACTTATTAAAGTGCTGGTAGTCGGTAAGAGTTACAAGCTATTTTAAAAACAAATAATTCTTAAGGTTTTAGGGTCTTTTTATTTGTTGGTTGGATGTATCAAGTGTTCGTTCAGCCCACTGGTGAAATCTCTGAAGGAACAACACAAAAACAGGTCCTGATGCGTCAGTATAGACCTTTTGTATGTGAGAATAAAGCCAATGGAACCTCATTAGCATGACTTCCGAATGAGCTTGTCATTAGCATTTTGAAAAGGGCATCTGGGCTGTTTATATATTTATATTTTTAGAACTTGTAGTACACATTAGCTAATTGACTTCCATCTCTCACCAGTCATCACAAAGATATGTCGTCGTAAAACGTTGGCATGCGGCCACAAAGACATACCTGTAGCTCATTAAAGGTCCAGAGAAGTGCCTTGGAGACGGTCGGCTGCAGAAGACTAATTATGGCGTCAAACGTGACATCCATCCTTCAAATGAGCAAAGCACACAATTGGTGATAAGATGTCATGGTTTTTGTTGGCTTGGATGACGTCTTTTGGCTCGGACACCGCTGAACCATAAAAAGGCCTTGGACATGAGAAGAGTAGAAGACTACCCTCCACACAAGCCACGAGATGCCTTGGTTCCCCTCCAACTTGCAGAAAGCTGGGATGCAGACGTCTAACAGGGTAAGAGCTAGATTTTTTATTTAAAACTCAGTGGTTGATTTGTTTGATATCACAAATGTGTGTGTTCTTTAAACTAGCCTAAGGTTGCTTACATTTCTGAGTTTGTTTGGGGTCTTTACTGTTCATTTTCTTATGCATCCCTTTTATATCCTCATCAAATCTGTTGTGTGTCCTTAAGTTTGATGCATTATACAACATTTACATTTTATTTTATTACAATCGAGCATTTTATGATTGAAACCACAGGGCTTGGGTTGCATTGGCAGGTTTTTGCAGGGCGAGTATCATAACAAAATATATTTTTCTATATTCAATCAATGGATCATAACTGAGTAATTTTAAAACCCACAAAGCTGATCAGGCATGTAGTCAAAGGGAAGCAATGTTTTTATTATAATTTCCCTAATAATATAATTGTAATTACTTTATTTATAGCGTCCTTTATGTCTAATGATAAGGGTTACAAATGAGTATAGGCTATAGGCTCTGTGATCTTATGTCTCTATTTGTATAAAACAAACGTTTGGGATTTAGGCAAAGGCATGACTATGCCCACATGTGAATGCTGTTAACATCATTTCAGCTTGATATGATTTTGTTTATGTTGTATGAGAGATTAAGGTTAAAGCATGCGTATAAAGTTCAGTGAGTCATATCCTTTAAGAAGGGATTAAAAAAGTGTTTGGTACGATACCACTTCATCATAGTTGCTCATGGTGATACTCAGTATATCTTTGAATTTAGACCAATTTAGTATTTTAAGAATACATTTTCATTTGAAATTCTGTGATTCATCGCTTAAGATTTAACCAGCAACATTTTTAACATGATGTAAGCCATAACAATACTTAACATTTGAAAGACATGCAGATAAATAAATCATTTTATAGCTTTCCCTGCCAACATACTATATTCTTGTATTGGTGTATTGGGTGTTAACTGATCTGGTTTTCCCTGCAGAAGGTCCTGGTGCTGGTGGTGATGCTGCTGCTGTCTCAGCTGGCCTGTGAGGCTCACAGCATGTCTGAGTGCTGCAGACAGCCGGCCCACTCCTGTCGCCTCTACATGTTTCTGTGTAGCCCCAGCACCAATAACCTTGGGAGACCCCTCACAGGGGACACTTCTGCTGGTATCCTCACTCTGGGCAAACGGAGGGAGGACGAGCATCGCCTCCAGAGCCGCCTCCACCAGCTCCTCCAGGACTCCAGAAACCAGGCCGCAGGGATCCTGACGATGGGCAAGAGGACGGAGGAGAGGCAGTTCATGGACTGGATGGCTCAGTCAGGAACTATCACAACGCCCCTGCCTGTCCTAAGCTAAATACTCACATAAATACTTATAATGGAATCTATAAAAGACTGGTAAAAATCAGAACACACCTATATGGTGAGTGACATTACACAGGATGTGTATTTTTCTGCTCATATTAAAACTATTAGGGGGTTGTGTAATATTGTACATAATATGGACTTGTGATGGGTGCAATTAAAAACAAATACATAAAGGTGGCAACACGTCTTTAATTATTCTTGGGTGGGTTTTCTGGGCTAATAATTAAATATTTCGTACATTTTCATTAAGAAAGTGCTCAAAATCATGCCGATTACCTATTATTATTAAAAGATATAAATATATTAAATTATAATGCAGAAACATGCATTATATACTAATTATTTCCTATACAGTATGCAATCTTTTGGTCATACAAAACTTCATGCAAAATTGAATCAAAACTACACAAATCTTGTAGAACAACAAACACAGTTTGTATTATCTACATGTTATCTTCCTTATTCGTAACAACATTAGGGAGTGTATGAAAAATGTCTTGGAAAGAAAAGGATATATTTTGTAGATCAAGGGAGAGTCTTTAAATTGCAAAATGCAAAACGTACTGAAAAGAAGATGTCCAAAAAGTGATATTGTTTATGTCCATCATAGACCATAATGGTTCTTTTTAACACATGCAGACGATAACTCTCTTGTTTCTTATTGGGGAGGGTGTGGCACTTTCTTTCTCTGTTTGCATGTTTACTGAGAGTCAAAGTCCCGCCCCTCACACTCCTTCTGACTGCCCATGCTTCAGTGTGTTTTTGCTCAAAAATAATTACGATGCAGAATGTTACATGGGTTTTATATTCACAGTATACTGCAAGGTCAATTATTTTCTGATCATTTTACTCAACAAGGCATATACATTGATGTATAGGAGCATCATAGAAGAATAATGAGAAATGTAGGATAAGAAGGAAGAAGGATTCTTGAACTGAGCTCAATGTGCAGACAGAGATGATGTCATAGCTTGCACTCTATAGTTACTCTTTGGCTAATAATAACCCATGCTAACTTTTAGACGGACCTATTTAAGAAGGCCTCCTGCTTAGCAACGTGTTACACCTCATCTAAAGCTGGTTCATCGTACCAAAGCCATTACTGCTGGATCAAAAATTCCCACAAAAAACGATCAAATAGTTCGATTGTTCAGCAGCTTAATACGACCCAGAGTCACGTTTTAAAGTGTAGCACCTCTAGTGGTCGTGTAAGAAACAACATGCTCCCGTTGATTGCAAACGCTCCGGAGGGTCGTTTATTCACAAATAACCCTCTCTGGAAAATCCTAAATTGTGGAATAGTTTGGCCATTAAAATGCTTTTTGATTAGATTCCTAGCGAGAAGTGTATATTGTACTTTTGTAATCTACGTCCAGTGGATGTGTAGGATCTATAGTTATGATAGATATTACGAAGGTGATTTGAGGTCTTGCCAGGAGAACGTGTAGGCCTATATGCGGCAGCTTCCATGTCGAGCCATTCAAATAAAACATTACACTAGTCACTCTTTTTCAGCAACTAGTGGCACTTTTGTCCGACTAGTTAGCACATAAGCCTTACTAGTGACGCTAGGAGCAGCACTATGACAAGGTTACGCCGAGTGTCAAACAGCTCTTTGAAATGGAATGGAACCACGGCAGACTATCCAAAACTGGACTTGGACGGTCCATCCCAGCCCTCCCCCCCAGAACTACACATGCTGGCTATTGTGTGTTTCGCAACATGTTCTATCTATCTACTGGGAATTGTAGTTTTAAAAGACGTTTTCGTATTTCCCACAATTAGAAGTTGCCAGTATTAAACTGTATACATCCCTGGAGGTTTAGGGGATACGAAACACATTGGTGTTATCAAATTTAAAACATACAATACATGGGTGAAAGTAGCTTGTGTCCATAATGGGCAGCATTAATATACCCACATGATAGCTAAGGTCAGAATAGCTTTATTGAACAGCTGGTCTTATGTCTGTGACCCCTCCTGTTGTTAATTGATAAGCCTGAAACATGCACTTGTCAAGGTTCAGAGGCACATTTTGCAAATATGGCAGTAGCCATCGATCATCATAAGATAAGATAATTTAAGATATGCTTTATTGATCCCAAGTTGGGAAATGTTTTTGTTACATCAGCATGTGTACTACTTTGTTCTACTCCACTACAATTCAGAGGTTAACCTGGTATTTTTACTACACTACATTTATTGTAGTTACTTTGCAGATTCTGATTAATGATGTGAAATATAAACAACCCTTTAATCAGACTTTAGTTACACCTGAGTCAAATTCAGGGAAGGTGATTGTCAAGTGCCAAAATAAACTATTGTGGTGCCACGTGATGGGACATAATTCACCTCTGGTTATTGTGTTGCAACACGGACCCGTTAGAGAGGGCACCGGAAGCAAGGTTCATTCATGCTAGCTTCACAACAAGATATAAGCTAATGTCTTAACCTGTCTGAATGTTCTTTGATAATAAAGTGTGGAGTTCCATACTGAACACGCCGCCTCTGACTCCCATTCATCGGCTCTACACTGGTGACCCCGACTTTTCCGAGAAGGTTTCCGGAAAATTAACGAACATGGCTGAGTGCGATGTTTTCGTAAAGCTGCCGGAGTTTTGGGAGAATGCCACGGCGGCGTGGTTTGCACACGTGGAGGCGCACTTCGCCTGCCGGCAGGTCCGTGACGGGGACCTGAAGTACTACCACGTTGTAGCAGCGCTAGGAGGCTCCACGTCGTCCAGGTTGGTTGGTTTTATCACAGACCCCCCACACCATGGCAAATATGAGGCGATTAAGGCCCTCCTCCTTAAGACATTTAGCTTATCTGCTAAGGAGAGGGCCCGCCAGTTACTTGACATTCAAGGCCTAGGAGATAGCAAGCCATCTCAGCTAATGGAGAAAATGCTAAATCTGCTAGGGGGGGAAGATCCCCGGATTTTATTCACGGAGATTTTCCTGCGTCACTTGCCTCCCCGGGTCCAGACGGCGCTAGCCAACACGCCTGTCACGGAGCCCCGTGCCTGGGCTGAGGAAGCGGATCGTTTTTTCCTGGCTACACAACAGCCCGGTGCAGAGACGTTAGCCGCGACGCTCAGTGGCCCATCTGCAGTCAAGACAGCATGGCGGAGGCCGGACACGGCAGTTTCGAGCTGGCGTGGAGACACCGGAGAGTGCTTTTACCACGCACGTTTCGGGACAATGGCGAAGAAATGCATCGCTCCGTGCAGCTACAAACCCCCGGGAAACGGAGGGGCCGGCACTCAGTAGTGGCCCTGAGCGTCAGCGGCACGTGCAGGCTCCTCTTCGTCAGTGACAGCGTTTCGGGGAGCCTGTTTCTGTGTGACACGGGCGCTCAACGGAGCGTAGTTCCCGCATCGAGTGAAGACGTCACCCGGGGTGGGCACGGACCGCGATTGACGACGGCTAACGGCGGTCCCATTCGCACGTACGGCGTGAGGCCTATGTGTTTGTGCATCGGAGGACAGCGTTTCAGCTGGGATTTTGTAACAGCGGACATTTCTTTTCCCCTCCTCGGAGCGGATTTTTTGTGCGCTCATGGACTCTTAGTGGACGTTAAGAATAGGCGTTTGGTTGATGCCTTGACGTTTTCTTCCCTCGTGTGCACACTTGGCAGCGCAGCTGTCGGGGGCAGACACGTTTCTCAGACTGTTGGCCGAGTTTCCAGACCTGTCGCTACCCACCTTCTCTGCGCTTACCACTAAGCATGGCGTGGAGCACCACGTCACTACCGAGGGGCCTCCTGTCTACGCCAGGGCCAGGCGGTTGAACCCTTCTAAGCTGGCTGTGGCGAGGGCGGAGTTCGCAACCATGGAGCGCCTGGGCATTGTCCGCCGCTCCGACAGTCCTTGGGCTTCCCCCCTGTACGTCGTCCCCAAACCGAACGGCGGGTTCCGCCCGTGCAGGGATTACCGCCGACTCAACGACGCCACTACGCCTGACTGCTATCCAGTGCCGCACATTCAGGACTTTTCGGCGCATCTGGCCGGTACAGGGGTGTTTTCCAAGGTGGATACTACCAGGTGCCCATGCACCCCCTGGACATTCCCAAGACGGCAGTGATAACACCTTTTGGACTTTTTGAGTTCCTGCGGATGCCTTTTGGACTCAAGAATGCCGCTCAGACGTTCCAGCGCCTGATGGATTCGGTGCTGCGGGACCTGCCGTTTGTGTTTGTCTACCTCGACGACATACTCGTCGCCAGCGCTTCAGTGCAGGAGCACCTGTTCCACCTCCGAGCCCTTTTCACACGACTCAACGAACACGGATTAATCATCAATCCTGCAAAGTGCCAGTTCGGTGTGTCTGACATTGATTTCCTGGGGCACCGCGTCACCAAGGGCGGTGCGACACCTCTGCCAGCGAAGGTGGAGGCTGTTGCGGCTTTTTCTCGCCCGCTCACAGCCCTGTCGCTCCGTGAGTTTCTGGGGATGGTGACCTTCTACCACCGTTTCATCGCCCGGGCTGCACACATCATGCGGCCGCTGTATGAAGCGTTGAAAGGCAAGACCCCCGTCCAGGCGATCAACTGGACAGCAGAGGCGGACGTCACTTTTGCTGAGGTCAAGACCGCGTTGGCTCAGGCGGCTTTGCTGGCACACCCATCATCTACGGCTCCCATTTCCATCACCACGGACGCGTCGGATTACGCGGTCGGCGCAGTGCACGAGCAGTGGGTGGGCAGCTGCTCGCCTTTTTCAGCCGCCAGCTGACGCCCAGAGAACGCAGGTACAGCGCCTTTGACCGAGAGCTCCTTGGACTTTATTTGGCCGTGTGGCACTTCCGTTTCATGCTGGAAGGCCGTGAATTTACGGCGTTTGTCGACCACAAGCCGCTCACCTTCGCCATGTCAAAAGTGGCGGAGCCTTGGTCGGCACGTCAGCAGCGGCAGCTGTCCTACATATCAGAGTTCACTACGGACATTAAGCACGTGGCTGGCAAGTCGAACCTGGTTGTTGATTGCCTCTTCAGAGTCGTCATCGGTGCTGTCCAGTTGGGCCTGGACTATACTCGCATGGCGGCGGACTAGGTCACAGATCCCGGCGTCCAGGCTCTGAAGGTGGAGGGCGCGGGGCTGCGCTTGG